ACATTTCCCATCTTTTAGTGCTGTTCAATTTGATTGCAATTCTTGTAAACTTGGTAAAAGTAAAATTCTACGATTTCCAGTTCATCAATCAAATGTAAATCAGCCTTTTGACATAATTCACAGTGATTTATGGGGCATCACACCTGTAATATCTCATGCACATTACAAATATTTTATCACTTTTATTGATGACTATAGTCGTTTCACATGGGTCTATTTTTTGCGATCTAAAGCTGAAGCTTTCTCTGCATTCCAATTTTTTCATTCCTATGTTCAAACTCAGTTTGCATCAAAAATTAAAACTCTGCGTTCTGACAATGGGGGGAATACACATCTCATTTGTTTCAAGAGTTCTCGCAGAAAAATGGTATATTATCTCAAAGGTCGTGTCCTTCCACACCCCAACAAAATGGGATAGCTGAAAGAAAAAACCGTCATCTTCTTGATGTTGTCCGTACCTTAATGTTGGACTCTTTAGTACCCTCCCGTTTTTGGTGTGAAGCTCTCTCAACTGTTGTCCACCTTATTAATCGGCTGCCTTCTCCAGTCTTGCACAATGATTCCCCTTTCTTAAGGTTATTTGGTAAGCAACCCAATTATTCAACTCTTCGCACCTTTGGTTGTGTCTGTTATGTTCATCTTCAGCCACCAGAACGCACCAAACTCACAGCTCAATCTGTTTAATGTGCTTTTCTTGGTTACTCAGCCCATCAAAAAGGTTTTTTATGCTATGATCTTCACTTACATAGGATTCGGGTTTCTAGAAATGTCATCTTTCAAGAAGATACATATTTTTTTGCTACTAACCAAGACACTCAATCTTCTACATCCAAATCTGTCTTACCATTGTTTCCTAACAGTTTTGCAGAAGACCAAGCTCGTCCTCCTGTCATTGTCTACCAAAGACGTCCGACTGTTCCACCAATTCAGACTTCAATCCCTTCAAGGCCCCCTTCTGATCATTCTCTGGCTGCTGATCCAGTGCATGCACTAGAACCTGCCCCTTTACGTCGCAGTACTCGCATTCGTAAACCACCGGAAAAGTATGGTGTTTCTGAATCTTTATCTTTGACAGCAACTTTAGCATCTATTCCTATTCCTTCTTCATATAAACAGGCAATGGAGCATAAATGTTGGCAGGATGCTATAGAGACTGAACTTCTTGCACTAGAGGAAAATCAAACATGGGACATTGTTCCATGTCCTTCATCGGTTAAACCTCTTGGCAGTAAATTTGTATTCACTATAAAGTTGCGTTCAGATGGATCCATCGATCGATACAAGGCTAGATTGGTTGTTCTTGGAAATAAGCAAGAATATGGCCTAGACTATGAAGAGACCTTTGCGCCGGTGGCCAAGATGACTACTGTGCGGACTATTATTGCCATTGCTGCATCTGAATCTTGGCCAATTCACCAGCTAGATGTCAAAAATGCCTTCCTTCATGGTGACCTCAAAGAAAAAGTTTACATCAAACTTCCTACGGGTATGCCCTCACTATTACCTCATACTGTTTTTAAGCTAAAACGTTCTTTGTATGGATTAAAACAGGCACCAAGAGTGTGGTTTGAAAAGTTTAGCACAACATTACTTGGTTTTTCCTTCATCCAAAGTAGCTATGATCCATCTCTTTTTCTACAAAGGACCTCCAAAGGAATTGTGATTCTCCTTGTTTATGTGGATGACATTATCGTCACCGGCTCAGATCAAGAGGCTATCACTACAATCAAACAATTGATGCATACAACTTTCCACATGAAAGATCTTGGACAGCTCACTTATTTCTTGGGATTAGAAGTACAATTCCAACAAAAAGGCATCTTTGTCACTCAGCACAAATATACTCAGGATCTAATTCAGCTAGCTGGTCTCACCACTGCAACTATGGTTGACACTCCCATGGAAGTTAATGTAAAGTTAAGACGGGATGAAGGTGACCTTCTACAAGACCCAACTTTATATCGAAAGTTGGTAAGAAGTCTCATCTACCTCACCATCACAAGACCTGATATCTCTTTTGTTGTCCACACAGTCAGCAAATTCATGCAAAATCCTAAACACTTGCATCTTACAACAGTACAACGAATCATTAAATATTTGTTGGCCACTCCCAGCCGTGGTATCTTCTTTCCGACAAATGCAACAATACAACTTCAAGCATACAGCGATGCTGATTGGGCTGGATGTCCCGACACAAGGAAGTCTACTACTGGCTGGTGTATGTTTTTAGGAGATGCCCCTATCTCCTGGAAATGCAAGAAACAAGAATCTGTCTCTAAATCCTCCACTGAAGCAGAATATCGGTCCATGTCTGCAGCATGCTCTGAGATTATTTGGTTACAGGGCCTTCTTTCAGAACTTGGTTATTCACAAGCAACACCAACTCCGTTGTATGCTGATAATACAAGTGCCATACAGATTGCAGCAAATCCTGTATACCATGAAAGAACAAAGCACATAGAGGTCGATTGTCATTCAATCAGGGAAGCTTATGACCATAGAATTATCACTCTACCTCATGTCTCAACATCTGTTCAACTAGCTGACATCCTCACCAAGTCTTTGACACGTCAACGACATAATTTCCTCGTCAGCAAATTGATGCTTGTAGATTCACCAGCATCAATTTGAGGGGGGATGTCAATAGAATTGATGAGCAGAATATTTGGCATTATTTGTGCAGATTTGTAATTATATCCTTAATTAATTAGCCAGCTGTAGGTTATGATTTGTAATTATATCCTTAATTAATTAGCCAGCTGTAGGTTATGATTGTGTAATTATATCCTTAATTAATTAGCTAGTTGTAGGTTATGATTGTATAGTTATGATTGTGTAATTATATCATACTATTTAAATGAGAATTCTCCAAAGGAGAACGTAAGGTTTTATCCCAATTTCTCTAAGTTTAACACACTTATGTGACTTAGAAGACAAATTGTCAAGACCGAAACTGAGACCATGGACAAAATAAGTAGAACCAAAGACGTGAGGGGTCAGGGAATGCAGCAGTTGATGGGAAAATAAGACAGAGTGTGGTACCTAGTTATCAAGAACAAAGGAGGGTATGCGATTAATAAGATAGCATGCAGTAAGGACAACATCTCCCCAAAAATGGAAGTAACACAACAGTGGATTAAATAGGCCGAGTGGTTTTAATGAGTGTGGGGTGGGGAACACGATGTCTGGTGAAGGAATGCAGCAGTTGAAGTAACTCATTCAGCAATCCATTTTGCTGTTTTTTTTTTTGTGTGTGGGGTGGGGAACACGATGTCTGGTGAAGGATGTTGTGAGATGCAAAAAAGTTTTAAATTGATGAAACAAATATTAACGGGCATCATCACATGATATAGGCCGGCTTGTAAGCTTATAGACCAAGTCTTGTAAAAGTAGACCTATGGCCTATTTTTTTAATAGACTTTCTTTAAATCCAACATATTATACTTCACTAAGAGTGTGCATGACAATCTTCCTAGAATCAATTTTAAAAAAAAAAAATTATTCTGGGGAATAGATATAGTTAGAAATAGTGTTTGACAAAACCAGTTTATTTTATTTTTGTTCTCGGGAATGAATAGTAATTTCTATTCTGGGGAACCAAAAATAAAAGCAACTTTTTCTTCTTTTTTATTCTAGGGCACAAAAAGGGAAATACTTCTCTCTCACTCTATGAAACTCGCCTCCTCTGCCTCTTTCTATTTCCAACCAGGCCTTCTTCTACCCATCAGGTAAAGTTCTCTTCTCCTCTCCTCTTCCCTCCTTCACTCCATGTCTCCATCTTTTCAAAACATTGTTCCTCTTCCTCTCCCTCCTCCTCCCTCTTGGTTATATTGTTTGTCAACATGTAGGAAAATTCTCTATTTTCAATTTTGGATACCCAAGATGGTTATTTGACACCATTCAAGGGAGAGCACTACAATTTGAATGACTATAGAGGGAGACAAAATCAGCCTAGATCAGCAAAGGTGATGTTCAACCATAGGCACTCTTCCTTGAGAAATATAATTGAACTTCCTTTTGGGGCTTTAAAGAATAGGTTCCAATTTTGTGTAAAATTCCTTACTTTTCATTTTGGAAGCAAGCTCTCATTGTAATTGCATGTTGTGCAGTGCATAACTTTATTAGAGATCATCAAATAACAGACAAATATCTAGCATATTATGCCAATCCCAATGTTTCACCAGCAACCCACACAACTACAGCTACAAAGGAAGAGGGCCCCACAAATCAAGCGACCAAAACAAACATTGTTAAAAAAAAATTGTAAACCAATTAGCTAGAGACAATCAATTGCCCCCAATTTGATATTGATTAATTAGCTATTCGAATCATGAAATATTCAAAATACATTGGAAACTTGTCATATTTTTTGGTATTGATTATTTCTGCTTTAAATTATTTGGATATCATGTGATTTATGTATATGTATTTATCTATTCATTTGTTTCATTAATATTAAGATAATAATATGGTATTAAAAAATGAGTAGTATTTTTATATATTTTAGTATTTTCATGAGACAAAATATTATTTGTTTTAGTATTTTCATTGTATTAAAATATTATATTTTTTATTTGCAAAAAAAATTATATTTTATTATTTTCATGAAATAATTATTGTTTGTTAAATATGAAATTTTGGCATTTTAGTTAAAATATTTGTTGCAATTGGGTTATTTTACACATTGAATGAAATCTTTGTAATTATTTCAAAAGTAAAGAAATAGATTTGTATTGTGTTATCAAAAGTAATTTTGTTTCTCGGATTAAAAATAAAACGCGTTATCAAATACATTTTTTCCCCATAAACTCTTCCAAGGCACAAAAACAGGAGAAAAAATATTTCTTTTCGGAAACAGTGCTGGAGAAAAGAATCATTGTCATGCACACCCTAAGTTTACTAGTCTAGGCCTGACTGTAGGCTACCTAACTAACCCATTTACATCGCTGACCATTCCCCGAAAGAAAAGAAAAATGAAGCTAAACCAGACAGTAGCTTACCATATTTTGCAGCTAAACCCCAATAACGAGCAAGCCAACACCTCTTAAGAACAACTTCCTCCTGATAACAAGAAAGTTTATATAATGAGTTTTCCAAATAACTAACAAATACCAATGAACTCCCACAACTGTGGAAGTACATACCATTTCTTTCTGAGTTAATATCATTCTTTGTGTCATTGATCGAAGAGCTTTGACTTCAGATTCAGCTCCATTTAGCTGTCTCACTGCAGCCTCAGTCTCAACTTTTGAATTCTATTTGAGAGGAAATAATTAAACATATATGGCAGCCTGTGTTGAGAATATAAAAAAATGGCATATTTACCTCAACTTCAGCCTGTAGAGATGTGATTTCCTTATCAATTTCATCCTTCGAGTCTTTGGCATTTTTAAGTGCAGCCTGTGAAATATGAAGCTGTCTTGGAGGCATTTTTCACAAGGGATTAAACAAGAAATGGCATATCTTACTATTTTGCTAATAATAGCTCCATTCTGTGTATAGTATATATTAACTATATCCATTGCTTGTACAATATGCAGCTCTACAGTTCAAGTTATTTCCACATTACCTCCCTTTGACGCAATGCTGCTTCCTTTCTGCTATTCAGTAATATAAGGATGTCATAAATACTACTAAGTGAAAGAAAAACCATTTGCAACAGTTTTAACTTCAATTCACTCACCTGCTCAAGAGTTTAGCTTCCAAAGATACACCTTCTCCAAGGGAAGCCACCTACAGTCCCCGAGATAAAAAGAAAGATTAAAACACTGCATATGCAGACTTAACAGAAATATCATTAGCACACAGTCACACACACAAATGTATAAACATGAATATCAAAGTCAAGTAATAAAATTTTAGAAAGAAAATTTGTATTAATTAGAGAGAAACTCTTCAAGCATGATGATTCTTTTATTTTATTTTATTTTATTTTTTGGAAGGGGGGGGGGGGGGTGTTGGCCGAGGTATATTGGGACAAGATCCAAACTCCTAGCCCAATGGCTTAGCCATTTACATTGGGTCCACTAGCATAGCATAGTGAATTGGAATAGCCAAGTGGGCGCCCAAATACAACCCAGTCTAGGCAGGTAAAATGAAACCAAAGTATGCTCAAACATAATTTAGAGAGTCTCACATTAAAAACAAGATGAAAATATTATTCATAGCAAATAGTGCAGTGAGCCTGTAAAATACAAACTCCTGTTCTTGTGTCAACCAAGAACAAGCAGACAATCATTCAGAAGAACACAGTCAATAAGTGAAAAAAACTACAATACCATATACCAAAAAATAAAGCCAGCACCTGCTTCTCAAGCTCCCTAACTCTGGCCTCTGCTTCTTTGCATCTCTCTTCCTCAAGTCTGAGCTGTACATGTTAGAAGTACTTGAATACTTTATAAGTCATGTTAGTTCATTCACAACCGAGAGAGAACAAAGAATACCATATGACCTTGTCAAGAATACTTTCATTCTCTTCCTGTAGCATATCAACCTGCAGATAGAGCAGAGATTTGTTTCAAGTGAATTTAGATGGGCAGAATAAAATATATGTGGTCCTCAACTCTAAACATATTCAATTCTCTTTTATAGGACAGAGTAATTAACCTCATCACGAAGTGCAGAAGCCTGACGTTGGTCTCCTGAATCGTTTGGCTGAACGAGTCCAGCATCAAAAGGAAATCTGGAAATATTCCATCGAATTTGTTACACGAAAAAAAAGGGACCGTAAATGAACTCCCCAATTGTGATGGTATTATATGGGATGGTTCTATAAAAAAGAGCGGACACATAAAATTGAGCACTAATATCCAAACGCAATTAAGGAAGGCCCAGATACATTTTTGGATCTATAACTTGTAAGACAAGATAAGAAGTAGAGATACACATAAAATGATAATGGAAGGAGTACAAGGGTATGACAGTTCACCTTTTATCCTTGGGCTTATTATGAATTGGAGGGTCTATAGGCGGAACCGGAGCTGGAGTCCTCAGGCTTAACGGTGGTCTATTAGTATTAGGTGGCGCTGGACGAAGAGGCATTGATTCTTCTAACTAATTTGACATTAGCAGCAAAAAAGGCCTATTAGGAAACCAAATTAGTTAGTTACTGATAAATGATAAATGTGGAAGGGAAGGAATCGCACCGCACGAGATGGAGATCTATGAGTGATGGTGGATGATTTAGTAGCATTCCTAGAGAGAGAGAGAGGTGGTGGAGCACTGTAACGAAATCCTAGATCGTCACCGTCGTCGTCGTCGTCGTCGTCGTCGTCATCGGCAGTCTGAGAAGCCATTACCTGGGCGAGGCGCTGAGCGGCGGCTTTGGCAGCAACATTCTGAGTCCTTTTGATGGTTGACATTCCATTTCCGGTGAGGGTGAGGGAGGAGGACCGAGCATGCCCATGCCCATTACGTGAGTGTGAGTGTGAGTGTGAGTGCGATGGGGACCGCATCCCATTCCCATTCCCAGATTCGCTGCTCCACTGCCTGATAGAAACCGGGCTCTCTGTTCCTTTCCGCTCCATCTGCCAATGCTTGCTTCCTTACCTCCTAGATCCAAATGAGAAACTAACAAACCAAACACACACAACCAAATCTTCTATTCTTCATCTATTGGAAAATGTCTCATTACTCATTACTTAGTAAGTAGCTGCTTAATCATTCTGTGTCTGTGATATAGTGTGCTGTCCTGACTCTGACTATGACCGACAAACCGAGACTTCTTTCTCTTTTTTCTTTTTCTTTTTCTTTTCCCTTTTTATTTTCCTTACCCAAACTTTATTTTGGTCATCCTCTTGTTTCGACAAAAAAGTTAAAATAGTATTATTTTAATAAATAATTACGAATACATATATGTTTCGAAACTATTTACGAATCTATTGTACTCATTCACGTTCAAATTAGGCGTGAATTGTGTGAGGTTGACACGTGGTACAAAAAAATCAAATTACGAACCGTAAAACTTTGAAAAGTCATAACTTTTGACTCATGTATCTAAATCAGGTAAAAAAAAAAATTGATTCCACAAAAAATTTCGAGATCTACGTAATGACACCTCATTTGACATATTTTATCTCTCACAAAAAAAATTCAAATTTGCAATAATGATATTACGAGAGCGTTTAAACCATAAGCCTCCGAGTTCTGCGTTTGTGATTTAATATAAAAAAATTAATAAAGATTTGATTTATTATTTAAATTAAAAAATTAAAATTTTTAATTTTTAATATAAAAATAAATAAGATTTGGTTTGTGATTAAAATTAAAAAAAAAATTATTATTAATAGGAAAAACAAAATAAAGATTTGATTTGTGATTTAAACTTAAAAACCAATTTGAAAAATCTGTATTAATAAAGAAAATAATTAAATAAAAATTCTAAATCTTTAAGGAAGAAAAATTTTGTTTTTGAAAACTATTCATAAGCTTCCAACGAATCCAGCCATAAAGACTGAGCCTTTGTTTTGTATCACAGACTTTTCCAAACTTAAGATGGACTAATCTACTTTGGTGTCATCTTTATACTACTATTATTGCAAATTTGAACTGTGTTTGTGAGAGAAAAAATATATCAAATAAGATATCATTGCGTAGATCTCGAAAAGTTAAGTGGAATCAAAAAAAGAATTACCTGATTTGGATACCCGAGTTAAAAGTCATGGCCTTATGAAGTTTTACGATTAAACTATTAACTTTTTGTGTCACGTGTCAATACCAGAATAGTCATGCCTAAATTAGGCGTGACTATTCATGCTCAAATTAGGCATGACTGTTCACGCCTAAATTAGGCGTGAATGACATGGGAGTCACGCCTAATTTAGGCGTAAATAAGTGCAATAAATTCTTAAATAAGTTCAAAATAGCAACTTATTTGTAATAATTTATTAAAAAAACAATATTTTAATTTTTTTTGCACTCTTGTTTCTTCGTCATCACTATACTTAAATAGTTAGGGTATTGACGGATTGTTACTAAATATTAGCTCACTGTTGTAAAACTAGTTCGGTAGAAGAGAAATTTTTTTTATCCGTATACTAGGAAAATAGGATTTATTGGGAATGTTACAAAAAAATTGTTTGATTAGTTAAAATATTACTAGAAATATTAAATTGATTTTTTAAATTTTAAAAGTAAAATATTATCGAGAATATCTATGAAATTTACAAAAATAACCTTGAAGGGGCGTTTTTAATATTCAGGCTCATTCTTTCATCATTACCTTTATCAACTTGTCTCCGATTTTGAATATCGTTATCGTCTTCCTTCACTCTGCATGATGTATTGGTTGCCTCCTTTAGTCAAGTCATGACAGAGTAATGAAAAGGGTATCCGAATAGTCAATATGTTGCACAGCAAATCACGATGGAAACCTTATATGGTGATAGTCTTAGGCTTCAACAAGTCATGGCTGCTTTTCTACTGGTTTCCATCAATTTTACACCAAATGGAGGTCAGGTAGGAAAATCCGTCCAGCTTGTTCATCGGGTTACTCATCTCATTTTCGGGCACGATAAAGAAAGGGTAAAAAATGCCCAAAATTTATGTTTGAGTGAATACTTTTTTAATCCGTGGCAATATCCACGAAGTCCTTTTCAGTCTCTAGCAAGAAAAAAGGAACAAATTGATCCCTGAAATAACAAAAAAGAGGCCACGTTCATCCTTTCGTTAACTCCCACATAACGGCCCAACTAACGGTGCATAGTTGACACGTTAGTTTGCTGACGCGGCTTGGATGTAGGACACCGTGGAAGACGAGACGACGACGTTTTGGTCTCTGTCAAAACCACGAGGGCCATTTTGGTCCCTGTCAAAATGTACGAGGACGTTTTTAGTCCCTGACAAAAAGCACTGGGCCCTTATTGGTCCCTAATCAGAGAAAAATAGGCACATGACTTCATTGCTTTTCTATGCAGTCCAATTTTGCAAAACAGAAATGCATTTCATCATAACAGGAGTGCAATCCATTTGTTCATCACAAAGTAATTAAACTAAATTTCATCACAAAGTAAATACTCCTTCTTGGCATTTTATTTCAATGAAGTTTGTGTTTCTAACTGAAGTTTCGACCTTATTAACGATTATTCATTTCTTTTTCAATGCTAATTAAGCTTCCCACTTTGTTAAAAGGGATTTTTAGCTCTTGCAAACAGTTTTTACGATCCCTAGAATACTATGAACTGCTTTAATTCTCTTAGTCTGTATAAGACATAGCGATATGCGATTTACGAACAATATCTTCAGTAGTGTAGCATTACAATTATACTATTTATTTTTCTATAAAAGATAATTGCATGATTGTTGATATTTAAATACAGAGAAAAATCAGAGAAGAAGACATGTAAATGATTGTTGATAATTGCAATGCATGGCAGTTGACTGGAATGCAGCAGTTGGTAGTTCTCAGCCACATGAAGGCAACTTGAGAGGAAACAGCCAACCTCCATCAAATCCACAGCAAGCAAATGAGTTGTTGAGTAATGAAACAATGAATGCAGCAACCAGTGGCATACGAAGCAGATTATTGGCCTTCATGAGAACACTTGGTTTTAGGCCATCAAGGCCTGCCTCAAGAAAATGACATGCTGTTGTATATGACCTGGGAGTATTGCATGAGCCAACTGAGAAGGGTTTATTATTATGTGGCTGACTTTTTTTGAAAATTCTGGCCATTATGTATTTGGAGGCCTTATTATGTCAATGTTTTTTTTGTAAATTCTGGCCCTATTGTATTAGAGGTCTTTCTTTTAATTCCTGACAGTTGGCTTTATTTTGTAATGCATTACTGTACATCCATGTCTTCAAATATAATGATACTCAAATCATGTTCCAGCTATTATGTTTCACAGGGTTGATGAATGTTTAAGTTTACCATTTTTGAGGTTTTTTTAACTAATATACGTAGTTGTAGTTCTTGTACATCCATGTCTTCTGGTTTAACAAATTGGACTGCATACAAATCCAATTTAATGTCATGTTCCTGTTTTGCAAAATTGGATTGCACTCCTGTTTCTGATGTAATGCACTTCTGTTTTGCAAAATTGGACTGCATAGAAAAGCAATGAAGTTATGTGCCTATTTTTCTCTGGTTAGGGACCAATAAAGGCCCCGTGCTTTTTGTCAGGGACTAAAAATGTCCTCGTGCATTTTGACAGGGACCAAAATGGCCCTCGTGGTTTTGACAGGGACCAAAACGTCGTCGTCTCTTCTTCCACGTTGGCAGACGTCCAAGCCGCGTCAGCACACTAACATGCCACATGGGCACTGTTAGATGTACCGTTACGGTGGAGTTAACAGAAGGATGAACATGGCCTCTTTTTTATTATTTTAGGGACCAATTTGTTCCTTTTTATTGCTAGGGACTGAAAAGGACTTCGTAGATATTGCCAGGGACTAAAAATGGTATTTATTCTTTATGTTTAATTTTCCATACAAACCAGATTCTAGAATACTTCCCTTTTGTGGTATTTGAATATGGTATTTGGGCTAATAATTTGCATTACAATCAAATTTGTGGCTAAATAGGATTCTTGGAAGAAAAAAAAAATTCTTCTACCAAACATAGATATATTACATTCCCAACAAGACTTTTTCAGGATTCTAAAAGAAGCACACCTACCAAACAGCCCCTTAATATAGCTCTTAGCTATTGCTATCGGGTATTTACTTGTATTAAGAAATTACTCAATTTTTATGACGATTTGTCAAAAAAAAAATGTATGGGTTTAATGTTTCTGAAGCTACACTCATGAATATAAGTTGTTATTGAAGACAGTGGGTGATATTATATCACTAATAGATTTGAACCCATGTATAAAGCAGAGGAGGTAGATGATCAGAATTATTACTGTGTAATTAAAAATATTAAAAACAGACTTACTTGTCAGTGGCAGAATGATGAAACAGACAGAATGAAAGGATGAATATATGCAGTATCAGAGGAATTAAATCCGAGCCCACAGAACGTGTCTCCTTAAGACAATTTGCCCCATCACTGATGCCTAAGGTTGATGGACACTTGTCTCCCAGGATAGAACAGATTTCGTCTGAAGAATGGTGGCACTACCAATCAACAGCCCAAACGAACACAACAATATGCCAGAGGAAGTCACACCGGAGGATGAACAACAGTATGCAAAACCGGAAGAAGAAAAATTCCGGCAGAGTTTAAGTGCAGAAAAAACTGGATAGATTTCTGAAGGTGTCAGTGTCTATTTATAGACACTGACCGGTCACGATGAACAGTCGCCGGCGGCGAACCGCCGTGTCTGATGGCGGCGAACGGGTGCGACCGGTGACTGTTCCGACGAACAGATACGACCGGTTCAGCGAGCAGACACAACCGGTGACTGGTTCACGAAGGGAAAGAACCGGTTCGGTTCAATACTGCTCAAAAAACCGGCGGGTAGAAACGTTTTGGTTGGAGGGAAGCAACGGTAAATTTTTGGACAAAATATTAAAAAATAATTTAATAAAAAATTATTTTTTATTACACACTATGAACCGAACCGAACCGGCCGGACGGACGGCGGCGCGCGCGTGTGGTGAACCAATACTCACCTAGCTCTCCCCTACATAAAACATGTAGTGACCCAAGGGCCAATCTAAGAGAGGGAAGTGGGAGCTTATATACTCTCCCATTTCCTACTAATTGTCCAATGTGGGACTTGTTGAAACCCACACACCTCTTCATCTTCCCTTTTTCTCTTTTCTTTATTAACCCACTTCTTATTCATAACCAATGGATCATTGTACATTAATTCATTCATTAATTCCAACATAAGTGGATCCCAATAATTTTTTCTCTCTTTTCTTTATAATAAAATCTATTTACTTTTATGTGATTGTAGTAGAAAAAAAACTTATAGCAAAAATAGAAAAAAAAAATTATTTGTTTGAATTTTTTTAAAAAAAATAATATGAAAAATGTTAATAAATTAAAATTAAAGACAAAGAATATTAGGGGTGTGCAAAAAAAACTAAAATCTGAACTCAAATGTGAACTGAACTGAATTGCTCTTAAAATAACCAATTTTTGAAAACGAGTTCATGAACCGAACTGAATTTTAAAGAACCAATTCAAGAACCAAACCAAACCATTTTATCTCTTCAATTTATTTTTTTATTTTTTATTTTTTTCTTCTTAGAATAGGTTCGACCGAACTGTTTTCAATCCAAACCAAATCAAACTATTAAATCAATTCAGTTCTTCAAAAAAAATCATTTCAATTTGACTCATGCACACTCCTAAAGAACATACATGGAAAAGAACCAACTTACACTATCATTTTTTGGTGGGTTAATTGCGGAGACCGACAGGCACGTTAATGTAAAATAAGTTAGTGTACATACTTAATGTTATAACAATCGAACCTAAAAACCTCTGAATCATAATTAGATTTGTTTAACAATTAAATTTAGTTAAATTGTAATAAAATAAAATTGGTTTACGGGGTAATAAGTTTAACCGATTGGTTGAGTCCAGATTTTCAAACCAAGCACAAGCACAAGCTCTGTCCACATAATAATTTGCATTGCAGCCAGTTATAACACCACTCCTGCCTGCTCGCAATGTGATATCATTAACAAAAAATAAGGTATTGATACAGGGAAAATATACCATGAACCCTGCCCACTTTCTTTTCATCCGACTGCACTCGATGGCAGAAAAATCAACGCAAGCACGATTTGAACTTAAATACAGAAATCATTTGAGTTCAGCTAGATTTGTTATGACTTTAGATTTGTTCCGAGAAATGATCAAATTAAAAACCGCCACCGATTGAGGGACACATTATTGATAAAATTCGGTCGCTTGAAAATGGGAGGCGTCATTGATTAGTTATTATCAATTGCTTATATGCAAAATTCACAACGCAATCCATGGGCATTTATTTCAATAAAAATAAAAATAAAAAAATAAGATAAACGCCACCATTGTACTGTGAATTAACAATGACAACGACAAATAAAAGAAGGGAAAAAATATCTAATATTACTTTAAATAATTTTGTCTAATGTTCACCGAAACGACGATTATTTTCAGGTCAAAAAATTAAAAATTTAGAATGATAAATACTATTATAACTCTAAAATAATTAAAATTACAAATACATTATGATTTTCGCCCACAACGGTGAATATTAAACAAATTATCTGAAATAACTTTAGAAAAAACGAATTGATAAAAGAATTATAAAAGGAATATTTACAGTTTTGAACTGTACCAAACTATGAGAAGCAAAACTTGACCCTTGCAACGCCGTAAATAGAGCTATCTTCTCACTCGAGTGGAATTAACCTGCACAAGTACCGTACCTGGGTTCATTGGATATTATTATTAATATAAGCATGTATGTTCCTGAAAACAGAAAGTACAGATTTAAGTCTTCATGTTAAAAATTAAATCATCTTACAATGTAACATGATTTTAGATTATTACCCTCCAATTCAGAGTAGAAGCCCCACGCCCCCACCTACTCGACATGTAACTAAGCAAATGATGCGAAATACATATCAAGCGAGTTCCTACGGGTATTACCTGAAATTGTAAAGAGCAGGTTAAATATAAGACGCATTGAGGTTATGTTTGGATATGAAATAACGGGTGAAATGGAAAGGAATAAAGTTGTCATATCATTTTTTGAATATTTTATGATGTAACAAAGTTTCTATTCCACTGTTGAGAAGTAGTTGAAGTAGTAGAGTGATTCAATCTCATACACCCGGGGCAGAAAAATGATATAGTATTGGATGAAATAGACTATACAATGAATTTTATTCATTTTGATTTTAAGAAATCCAAACAATGGGACTGATATTTCCCTCCATTTATCCATTTCCACCAATCCATACATAGCCTAAAAGATTATGTACTTGCACCATAAACACATTCAATGCCAATTTGTAGAATGTATATGTATGGAGATCAACTAGCTTGTTCTGACAATAGAACTTAATAAATGTTTGTCCCCCATCCCAGATATTTTAAGGATTGAGTATTGACCCTCATGTCCATTTTATCTCATCTAAAACCAGATAACTTGAAAAGGAGGCTTTTCCATTTATATATGAAACTTAAATTATATTTCATAATATATAATATAGGAGGAGGTTATACTTACAACCTATTTTCGTTTACAACCTTTTACAATCATATCTTAACCGTTGATTTCCGCCAATCAATGATAACTCATATTTTATTACACTTATTTGTCACTCTTAATTAGTATTTTTAGGATTTATTTGAATAAAATAATGATATTTTGAGTTAATTTACATTTTTAGTTTTTGATTGGGTTTAATTTATTTTCGTCAGAATTTTTCAGCTTTACGTTACTTCTGTATTTTGGCCATATCTCGGTCCACAGTTGTCGGATTGACTCCGTTCTTGTTGGGTTTTTCAGATAACACAGAGGGTTACAATTCTTATGAAGAGTTCGAAGCCCAATTCGGACTGGAATCTGGTCGATTTCTTACGCCAAGTCGGACGCGTTTTGCTGAAGTTTTATTTTATTATTGGACTTGTAATTTAAATTAAAACCCAGATACTTAAGTGGCCCAAAGCCAAGTTTTAGTTTTATTTTATTTCGTATTTTAGACAGATGGGCCGATCAGAACTGAACCCTAACCCGCTTTGGGTAGGGGTATATGACGGCAGAGTAGGAAACATTTTAGGGATTCTGAATTTTCGTATTTTGGGATCAAAGCACTTTCTCTGGAGCGTTCTTCGCGTTCTTCATTTTTTTTTTTTTAATCATGTTTACCTTAGCCATGCGAGGCTAAGAACCTTTTAATCAACCTAAGGGTAACGGATTCCATGAATTAGTCTTGAGGGTCTGCGCTTTATTTTAAATCAGTTTTGTTTCCCTTTCCAACTCAGATTGATATCGTGCGATCGTGGATATTCAATCTGAGGTTCGCGATTGCGATTATGGAAAGGGATTAATCATCAGATTTGATGGTTAGATTGATTGACCCTATGACCTTAAATCAAACGGGCTGATACTCTGCGATTGTATGAGTAGAAGCACCGTATTTGATCAAATGCTAAGCGATCGCTTAGAGAGGGTTGTCAATTGGAAATAAGAATTCTGATTCGATTGACGATCAATCACGATTCTGATATCTTTTTATCCGAGGAAAGACGTCCATGGAACCCTAACCTTAGGTTGGTTAATTGTTAATTACAAATTTTTATTCCAAATTTATATTCTGCTTTTTTAATTATTCAATCAAAACCCAAAACCCCCCCTTTTAATTTTCTGTCATCATAAGCGATTTTTACCAAAACAATTTCCTTGAGAGGCGACTTAGGGTTTCCACTTTACTACAAATTTTCTGAACCCTAATAAAAAAATAATTTTTAATTTGCACGAGTTCGACAACTCGTGTCAATCAACGGTTATCATTTATTGTGAATTAATAAATTTTATTTGCGAAAATCTTAACCGTTGATTGACGGAAATCAACGGTTAAGATATGGGTTGTAAGAGGTTGTAAACGAAAATAGGTTGTAAGTATAACATTCCCCTATAATATATACCAAAATTAATCCATGAAAATAGAAAAGAGAAATAAATACTAAACAAAACTATTCCGTTTTAAATATTACCTCGAGTCTAAACAGCCTGAGCAACGGTCTTAGAGCCATCTGATGACGGCCAACTACTAGGTAAAGCAATTGGTTTCAGGGGAGGAGAAGCAATATCCTCAGATAAAGTTGATCTATGAGGGTCTTCCAGTAGCCTTGATCCATGTATTGCTGCAACTTTAGCACCACTAGAAGGTATGGAGAAACTTCGAGCCATGGCCTGACGAGTCACTGGCAATGGAGAGACAGACACTGCATTTGATATAACAAAATCATTTGCAGCAGAAATCTTTTGACCTCTGGACACCAAAGGACCTGAATGACCCACCAATCCTGAAAGCCTTGAATTGGATGGGGAACTGGTTGGAGGCCTCGGAAGTTCATGAAGCTCACTTATTTTAGGAGAAGATGTAAGAGTAGGAGAAGAACTAGGAGATACTTTTGGTGATGATGATGATGGATGCTGTGGAATTGGAGTCCGCAAAAAAGGTCCAGAAAACAATTGAACACTTTCTATTGAGACAGGCTTGGTTGGCCATGGATTACTCGCCAATGGACCAGAAAAGGCATGTCTTTTAATCTTTTTTGAGTAAGCAGCAACAAAATTATGATTTGAGGGTAAAAAAAACCCACCAATCAAAGGAGGGGGCAATCTTGCGGAGGCAGCATTGCCGTTACTCTCCTTGAGCACAGACTCTGCATTTCTAACATTAGGACCAGAAAATCCCTCATCTCCAAGACCTTTTTCGTATTTCTTTTTTTCCAGTGGGGATGAATGCCACAAATTCTTTGTTGGTTCATCTATATTTGTCTTCAATTTGGAAGGTACTTGATTACTTGACCTTGAAGATATTGAACTCTTTGCATCAACAGGTGTGGGTAGTACATATGAATTGAACTTCCGTGATAAAGATGGCCCCATCTTACTCAGCTTTTCATTAGAATCAGGTTTCCTATCAGCAAAAAGTGGGGCAGATTGGCTCCCTGTCCTAACCCTGAAGGAGAATGAATGCCTAGGAAGCCTATTTAAGTATTCCTGCATATAAAACAACAGATACATCATGCATATTCATAAAAGGTGCAAATCCCAGTGCATAAGGCTCTCATACTTGCAAGGATAGATTGTTTGTACATAATCTTATCCTTGCATTTTGCAAAGAGGCTGTTTTCCAGACTCAAAACTGTAACCTTCCAGTCACAACCTTATCACTGCTCCAAAGCTCACCCTCATGCATATTCATAAGCATTCAAAAATTTTAGATCAGAAGGAAATTAAATAATCTGATTTCCAAATGCCTCGAGAAGCTTAGGGCTGAGGAGGTGTATTATATCAACAAGTAAAATACTTCCAGTCCCAGGGATACAACAACTTTCATAGAATTTTATGCATGGACCAAAGAAATTACTATTCCAAGTTTGACTTTCAGAGGTTCTTAGTTCTTACTCAATCCATTCTCCCCGCATTCCTGCCAAACTAAATTAGTTACACAAATAGAGCAATAAATCATATGTGAACAAATAAGGATGTGAAGTTTCTGTACACAAGCCTACAACTGCTCTGCCTAGAACTCTGATTCTCATGGGTTCTGATCCCTAAACAAGAAGATCATTTGCTTAGAAAATCATTAAATCACTATTTAATTTTGATTTTACTTATCTTCTCTTTAGCATGGTAGGATTTAAAACCACATCCCACCTTTGTGATCAATTGGCTACCTACTCATATTAATGCCAGTTTGTAGGGATGGTTATCATTCTTCAAAATATCCATATCTAAATAAGATTGGGATGCGTGAAAGGAGGAGAAAAAGATTACAAATTTCTAGTAACGTAAAGTAGTCACCTTCGTCGAGTTTCGTGACATAGAAATGTCTTGCACGTGTTCATTTTGTCCATAGTCAAAACTCAGCTCCCCATCATCATTCTCATCGTAACCATCATCATCATGTTCTAAATCATCACCTTCATCCTCATCCTCCCCTTCAAGGCCAATGAAGTGGTAATCAATGTGTTGCTGTTCAGATACTGATTTCACATGTGGCTCTACTGTCTCAAGAGACTTAACTGCTTTCTTGAAGAAACACAACTGTTTTGGGAAATAAAGGGGAGCATTGACAACTAAAAAAAATTAAAAATGAATAACCCTCCCAGTTCTGACAAAGAAATATTGGGAATTAGCAAAACCTGAGCTGCATGGTGACGTGCTGCCTGTGTTAGAAGACTCCATGATTGTCCGTGCTTCAGAGATTTCAAGCGGAAAACAAATAATGTAGCCTCGTCATCATATTCATCACGAGCAGTTTGCAACTGCTGCAAGGAAAAACTCTCTGCTTTTCCACTTCTAGACCTACCTCTTTCTCTATATCTTGTTAACATGTACTCATATACTTCTCTGCAGACCATAAACCAAAATGATAAGACATGAATCACATTCAAAGACCAAAGTAGATTTAATATAATACTCCAAACCTTTTTTCATCACAATGCTGCTTCATCTCCTGCTTTGGCATGAAGAAAAGAAAAGTTATTGACAAAAATAACAAAAGGTCCTTCACACAGTATGATACAGCAACATATGGTAGATTCAACAAACACACTACCAATCGTCTTCAGATGAAATATAAGCATTAAAATAAATCTATTCAAAGGTCATTCTGTTATAGCGATAAAAATATATTGGGTAACAGATATCGTAGTTCTGCTATATTGGGATTCCGAAATTCAAGGAATTCTTGAAGATGGCTAGGTAAGGGGATATTCCGACTAAACCCATACTGCCAACCCTCAAGCTTAAACAAAACCATAATCAATATAGAAAAAATGCACACTCAACGTATCAAATTTAACTGACGCAGGACAATGAACAGGGTGAACGAGAAGATCGAAAAAACGAAGAGAGAAAAGAGAAACTGGATATATATATATGTGTGTGTGTGTGTGTGTGTGTGATGATACAGTAGTTAAGAGATTGAATTAGATAAGAACAAACCTCAACAATTCCAAGTTCATTGAGAAGAGACTCTGATGGAATGGTAATTGTCTGGGATATATGAGAACGCTGAAATTGCAAAGCAATAACTTAGAAATGCATAGAAAATGGAAGAAATTGTTAAAATTTCAGAGACGGCATAAGGACTGACATAGTTATCAATGAGCTCCCGGATTTGAAACTGCATTTTACCCAGCATTAGCAGAACTTTTCCTGCATGAATCCATCCATTTCAGAAATACAAAAAAGGGAAGAAAGAAAGTTAGTTGCGTTTGAAAGAGACAAGTATACCGCTTTCTTCATCGTCATTTAAGGCGGTTTTCTCAAGAAGACAAGACCCCAATTCTGTCAAGGACTCTGAGAATTCTGTAAGAGTAGATGATTATTATTATTATTATTATTATTATTGTTATTACTATTTATCTAAAATAGAAATGGAAAAAGGTTTGAAAATGGAAATAGAAATACCACACCATAAGCACAGTTGGCTGCAGCTGCTGCCGCGGAAAGCAAACTATCGTAGCAGTCTCTCATGTCTTGCATGTCCTGCACAAACATATGCATTTTAACCCTAAAATTAAAATTGAATTTGAAATGTAAGACAAAAAGAACAAGGTGCCTGCCTGGGTAGCCATAGCCAGCTCCTTCAACTGGGACAAAGGCAGAATGTTGCTTCGGTCATGCTCTTGCTTCTCTACTGCCAGAACTCGCAACTTTCTCAGAGACCTCTTCATCCTTATGCAAATCAATCAAACCCTCTCTCTCTCTCCCTGTTAGATGAGTCTTTCTTATCTTTAAATCTTCAAGTCAATAGAAATGTCAATTAGGATTTCAGTCAACGATGCCAAACAACGAGGCCAGTCCAGTCAGTATTCACATAACTTAAAATCTTCAAAGTTCAAAACCGTATTTTCTTAGCAGTTAGCAACCTTTTTCCCAACGCAGTAAACAATCAATGTTCTTTTTTTTTCTTCTCTCTCTTTGCCCTTTTCCATTTTTATATACTTAAAATACAGTTTGCTAAAAATAATTTTACCTCTATTTTTAAGCGACTTCTTATAATATTTTAAAGGGAAATAATAATTCAAAAAAGAGTTATCTTATGTCATTCACTCATCTAATTTTATGTCAATTATTTTTTTTCTTTTTCTTTTTCTTTTTTCCTTTTATATTATGGACCTCATATATTTTTTTATTTTTTTTTGTAATATGGACCTCATATATTTGTGTCAGTGAGAATACTATCTCATGTAACATAAGATTAATAAACCTCTATTTTAAAATTGTAAACGAATTGGTTTATCATGTCTACTTTTTCATCACAAAGACAATATAACCAATTATTTGGTAGAGGAAAAAAAACTTTTATAGGAATAATTATTTATGTGAGAATATGATGAAAAAGTGAATTTTTTGAAATTCTTGTCAACTTTTTTACCTATTTTTTTCTATTTTCCCTATAGGGTGATATTCTTGGATAGAATTTCCATTCATAATTTACACACAAAATGGATTCCCAGTTAAATTACTTTTCCAGATAAATTTTCTTAAACGACATACCAAACATGGTCTTCTTGAAAACCTACCATCACTTTTTCGGGTATCTAAAAAAATCTCCCTACCAAACATCCTTAATAGTATATAAACAAAAACACGAATTTTAAAACAAAAAAATTATACTTACAACCTATTTTCGTTTACAATCTCTTACAACTAAGGTTGGCAAAATGGGCCAACCCGGCCCAACTCGCATGCAACTCGAAAAAAATGAGTCGGGTTAGGGTTGGCTCGAAAAAAAAAACGAGCCAGAAATTCAACCCAACCCGATCCGAGTCGGGTTAGGGTTGGCTCGCAGGTTGGCTAAAAAATATGGCTCGTGGGTTGGCTTGAAAAAATAGCTCGCGAGTTGGCTCAAAAATTGGCTCGTGAGTTGGTTTGAAAATTGCTCGCGGGTTGGCTCATTTTCAGCCTATTTAAATGAACCTGTATTATTAATGCAGCAGCTATGTGGCTTCCATCAACTTAAACAAAGGGTTACAAAATGAGAAATAAAAGCAAAATATTCTAGTTTTGAATTTTCTTTACAACAAATTTGCACCAACGTTAACAAAAAAATAAGAACCACTTGTTACCAAATGGGTAAGATATTTGAACCAAATAGAGTCAGCACAGCAAAGCCTAACAATATAAAAATAGCAGGAATGTTAGAAGATTTTAGGGACTTAGGTTTAGAGGAGAAAGAAAGATGATGATGATGACAGCATGAGTGGATTTTGTCTATTTTTGTATATTATACTTTGTACTTTTTATAAAAAGAACTTAACCCGCAAGCTGGCCTGTTTAACCCGTGGATTGGCTCATTTTTTCCCGAACTGACTCGGGTTGGCAACTCACTTTTGCCAACCTAACCTGACTCATTTTTGACGCTCAGTTTTTGCCAACCCTACTTACAACCATATCTTAACCGATCAATGATTAGTATTTTCACAAATCAAACTCATTAATTAATTAATTAATAATTCACAATAAATAATAATTGTTAACTGACGAAAATTAACTATCAAGATATAATTATAAGAGGTTATAAACGAAAATATATTGTAAATATAATTTTTCTCATTTTAAATTACGAAAAAGGCTTTAATACACTTTAATTTATAGAATAAATTTTTAACAGTTTTATTGAACAAATTAATTTTTAAAATTTAAAAGCTACAGTATTTAATTTTATAGAGAATTCTTAACACTTTCTAACTGATTTGAATATTTAAAAAATTAATATGTTAACACTCTAATTTTTTAAAAAATAGTTTAAAGATTTCGTCTGATTTATATTATTGGGAGCATCTTGTAACTAAAATTATGGTCATAAATGAATGGAAGTGTAGGCCCAAATGTGTCGAAATGTTTGACCGTCTACAAATGGGAAGGCACAACATTTCAAAGCAGTTTCGAGAATACAAGACCAGACCATGATTCATGGACTAGACTTTTAATAGAAAAATAAACTCTTCAGTTTGGTCAACAAAACGTGTTCCTGACTTCCAGGTATGTTATTCTCCAATCCATAGCCATTTCCTTCTCTCCCTCCAAATCGTGCATAAATTACACAGCTGTTCCCAATTAAATACCTGCAAGGCTGCAAGTCTCCTTTGCAATGTATGCTAAGCTAAGAAAAACGGCTAATGCAAATGACTAATCACTTGGTTCTCTTTAACTTAAGAAGAGCAAAAGAAGCCGCCGCCACCTGATAACGCCTTCTATCAAGTATCATGGTGGTGTGTAGTTGCGTACTTCGTCATTCAAGTAAAAAACGCTGATTTTTGCTAGACAAAATGTGATTGCAAATAAGAATAATGATGGAGATAGCAATTGATGTCAGGAAACTTATTTCTAAATCAAATTGATGTGTAAAAAAAGATTGGTAACAAAAAGCAGTCGTTTTGTTTTCTTGTCAAATATCCCTTTCTCATTTTCTTAATTCCTGCATTCTCTTTACAGTTTTCCGGGACCTTGTCGTTACTGGAGCAGGAAAAACGGGTTCGACTCGGCGGGTCAACTCGTTAAACGGGACAGGACGGGCAGAGTTTTTCAACTCATCTTAAAAGCGGGGCGAGACGAGACGGGCTCATTTTTTGGCGGGTATAGGCGGGCTGAAGCGGATCAGTGTAAAATAGGCTCGGGCTGGCGGGCCAATCCGCCCAACCCGCCAAACGGAGCGAGGCGGGCTCAATTTTTTAGCCCACTTTCAAAAGCGGAGTGGGGCGGGCTAACTCATTTTTTGGCGGGGTGGGGTGGGGCGGGGCGAGGCGGACCGCTCACTTTGCCACCTCTAGTCGTTACATATTTAGCAGAAAAAATGCAAATTAATAACATGTGAATTCCGTTTTTCAACTATCACATGCCCAAGATTTTACAACTTTACCAAATCTGCTACAGCCTCCATTACATAAAAAAATTTCCCTTTTTTTTCCTTCCTGATTTTCAACAAAGCGACACAAAACATTAACTATTGAAGAAAATTATAACTTTCAGGCATACTCATCTCTTTTTTCTTGCAAGCTGCTTATATCAAGTTTTTTTTTTTTTTTCTTGGGTTAGGAATTATACATTGAGGAGTAGTGGTCTAGTGGACGGTATCAAATTCATGAAATTTAGTTGTTTGACTCTTCGAAATAAATTCGTACTCTATAAACTTTAGCGATTAATTTTCATATTACAATTTCATAGAAATAAATGGTATAAAATAATCATAAAATTTTATCTTTTTTTTTTAAAACAAAAATAAGAATTTGCTTACAATAGAAACAGATGAATGACTTTGTTTATATGATGCAGGATATGCAACTATCAAATAAACAACTAAAAAAGAGGTTGACTATAATTAATGAAGAGGAGGTTGTCCATGAGATGATCCTAGACCTAACCTCGAAATTGATTATTGTTACCAAGGATGGGCTCGTGTGCATGAAATAGATGGATATTGAACGAATTGGAATTTCATAATTGTGAAATGAGTTTACCTTGGGAATGAGATGCTTGATGCTGCTAAAGAAGATACTTTTTCATTTGAAGAAGGATTCGAAGATGATCATAATGATAATGGTACAGAATTTGAATTCTGCCTATCTTAACTCTGGTCTTACTTTTTACTTGGGATGTTATGAACTTATGATTCCCTCAGTTATGTATGAACTTTATCATGCTTTGTTATTTATGTTTATTTAGAATTTTATATTTCAATCATTGATATACTAATAATATTTGAAAATTATATTTTTTTAATATATATAAGAATAATATTTCTCTTACAAGAGATCGAATCCGAGATAAATAATAAATTCAAGATAAAGACGAAGACCAATTCAAAGAGAACCAATCCGAAATAAATACGAAATCCGAGATAAAGATGAAGAGAATTCAAAGAGATCTAATGAGATTAAGACGACGACGGATTCAGAGAGATCCAATCCGAGATAAAGATGAAGACATATGTGGAGAGATCCAATCCGAGATAAATAGTAAATCTGAGATCAATTTTTGGTGATGAAGCACAAAAACAAAATCCCTCAATGTGAACAAGGGAACACCTAAAAAGCAAAATCCAAAGTGAGGCTCAAAAGGATTACTTGACAACTATTACACCCCGACAGCCCGAACATCCAAACTAATGGGCTGGAGGCAACTGTTATGGACCTGACAAAGACCCATATTCTAAAAGGTCCAGGCTAAGAGGGAATTAAGGAACGATTCTTTAATTATATTAATCCTAATATGGCAGTAATTGATTATGAATGGATTATGAATTGTACCTCCAACACTCCTGAAAGGCCCAAAATTTCACTATTGTTAAGTAAGATTAAGCCAATAAGATAGACATATTTTAAACCATTTCTCTCTCAGCTGTCATTATGCATACGCTCAACTTTTTGGCTATCTGTCTACCTTCAAAGATATCTCCTTCATAGATGCCTAAGAAAGAACCTATAAATCCTATAGAAACATTATCAATCTTTGATTGAACATCTGTCACAAAGACAGAACAATCGCATTGGCGAACCTTTGGGCGATTTGATGCAGTACAAAGAACAGATACTGAAGGAAGAAGGTTAACTCGATCAGTTACTGGGTGCCAACCCAAGTTACCTATTTGGCAGAAGGATTACGTCTGAGAAGTCAGTTCCAGAAGTTTAGGAGAGGAAGTTAGAAGTTGGTTGCATGTAAAAGTAGTTAGCCTTAGTTAGAAGATGATTGAATGT